TATATAAGGGAAACGCGCCATCTTTCGATGCTATACAAAGAAAAACTGGTTTTGTTCAAGATTTCGGTCTACACACCGGTCTTCGCACATATTTTTAAGGCACAGTAAAACCTCATGCTAGGGGAATTTAAAATGTAAGTGAAAAAATACAGAGAAGGCTTTCAAAGTTGACCGTCACAACCTGCAAATTCCTATTTCTTATTAGACTCCTAAACAATTCTCACTTCCAGTCCTATGGTACGCCACTTTTTAAACAGTTAACTATACTTCAATGACTTTACATTTAGTTTTTATAGACTTATATGTTTATTATTGTTTATGATTTTTTCGAATCATAAGCTGCCTGAAGTATATTTGAAAGTTATTTTAAGCCTGTTTCTAAGATTCATTTCTTTTATATTAGAGATACCCACTCCAATTATTTTCTTCCCAAATTATGGCGAATTTTCTGTTCGCTTTGCTGGAAATGCTCAGTCGTTGCTACTGGAAAGAGTGAATAAGTAAAAACAGTACCTTCGCAGGAGTCAATTTAAGGGGAAATTAAGTCGACTATTACAACTGTCAAACTATCTTTGATCTACCTCTAGCGCTTTTGATCATTTTAATGTCTAAAGGCGCTATATTAAGTGAATAAATTATTATTATTATTATTATTATTATTATTATTATCTTTTATAGTTTCTGTTGTCTACATGCCTGTCTCACGAAATGCAAATACTTATTGTTTTCATTTATTTCTGTTTCTTTCATTGGAAAGAGAAATAGACCTGACTTGACCTGATACGACTTCACACACTCAAACTTAACCAGTCGCAATTCTAATTCACTGATGAGCCGTGACGTACCTTACATAAAATTAAAGTAAATATTCCAATCTTGTTTGGCTTTACAAAAGTAACTCAGAATTTCAACTGACCACTTTCACCCAAAGTTAAAATGGCCCCATCAGTCCAAGTCGCAAATTCAACTCGTTCTCTAGCAATTTACAACTCGTTAGCCCGAGTACTAAGGATTAAGCATTTCTGGGGAGAAAAAGCTAGCTAGAGAGAAGCGGAAAAGGTCTTTTAAGTCCTGACCCTAACAGGTGAATATTTCACATACGGCGCACTTGTGGCCGTTGGACATGAAGATGTCCTCTGTCAGGATGATCAAAATTGATAAATGATTACGAAATATTGTAATTACAAACATCTATATCTGCCATTCTTGTTAAAAAGTTTTATATCGTACGCACCTCAAATTTTTCAGCTCCTTTGATCGGTTACATGTTTACCAACTTTTGGTGTCAAAAAGCTTCTTAATTCTGAGCAAACTTGTCTGAGTAGGTTGCTAATGAAGATGTTTTATAAATTACGTGAATGGTTTGGTCAATAAAGCAAACAAAATTTAAAGCAATTAAAACTCAAAGATAACGTTCAACACAGGATGCGTTTAAATTTTTTTTTTGGAACGTCAAAGATCCCCAAGTTAGAACAATTAGAGACATTACTAAGAAACTTAAACGCAGAAATTCAGACCGGTGGCGCCAGCAGTTAATTTTAATTATCGCTTATATGTTGATAAAATGTTTGACCATAAACAGCGGGCAATAATCTCATATTTCAGTATTACTGACGTTGGCAGTACGGAGTACCATTTAAAAACGCCAAAATATCTATTTGTAGTTATTACTCACTATTTTCCGATCCTGTCCATAAATTGTTAAATTCCGCCATCTGGTAGCAAAGAGACAATTGCCGTCTACTTTAACAAATACATAGTTTATTAAACTTATATGATTGATACAGAATTTCTTGTTTTTCCCTTTTTCCTTTTAACTCCCTTCCCTTTTCTAGGAACGACACGCTTGACCTGTTCTGTTATACGATCTCTTGACTCATATTTATTTGATCAATGACGATGATCGCTTGCTCGATTCTCGCTGATAGATGATGCATGTGCAAGTTAAAAGCCCTTTTTAGATCGATCTCTCTTGGTTAAGCAGTTTCCAGGTGCCTGACACTGTTTTCTCAATGAAGTGTAAGATACCAATCCATTAGAGAGTTCTAGATTCACCTTTACGGAAAACGGCAACGTTCTCTCTCTACTTAACGGTTACTGTTAGGCAGGTACAAAAGTCGGACCGAATCAACTCGGACCGCCAGGCCCGGTCGGATCAACTCGGATCGACTCGGACCAACTCGGATCGCATAAAAGAAAACAAAAATAAAATAAAATTGGACTCGGATCAACTCGGATCAACAATAAATAAATTAATTAAATTAGCAAAACTGAAAATTTAACCCATTTGGAGGGTAAAAAAGGCCAGATAATCCTTTTTTCTCCGTGGCTTTCAGCCGCCATTTTGTTTTACTAGTGCCAGTTCCTCTCAACTCGTGGTTGCGTTACACGACGCGCGCGTTCTGTTATGGATGTCCTCGAGGAAGGTAAAATCTCGACCATTTGCTTCATTCCAAAGAAAATGATAGTTTCAGTCGCCTAGAATGTATATATTTGCTTATTTTTTAGTGTACTGAATTATTTATGAGAAAAGCATCAAAAGCCTGGTCTATTGATCGCATTTAGATAGTTACCGAAGAGTGTTGGTTTGTTTGTTCCTGTTTGTTTTTTTCTGCAGGACTTCTGAAACTTAATTTTAATGATACACTAGTGAGCAGCACACATACATTTCCAGTGAACATTTTCAACTTGGAAGGAGGAGAAACCATTGCCTAATTTCATGCCGCGCGGGAGCCTGGCACCACCGGATTTTCCCGGACTTTTTTAATTCTGGACTGAAAATGGCTTCCAAAATAGAGGGTAAAGAAAAGGTCATTGCGTGCAGTTAAAACGATACTAAGGGCCAGATTACTCCAGAAAGTTAATATTCTAAAGCTAAGAACAGTTGTTTTACTGCTATAAAGAACCTCGATTAAAAATTTCGAGAAAAGAAAGATCTAATCGGAGACTTTCGCTACTTAGAAGTATTGGAAGGATTCCCGAATTGTTCGACAAAAAATGTGAACAAAGAACCGTCGAGTTTAGCTCTTTTTACGACGCTGGATCCGACCGAATATTGGGGAATGATAAGTGGGTGGGTGTACCTGTTTTTACAGACCGTAAAATAAAAACTACCAAAAAGCGAAACACGCCAGAGTGACCCTGAGTGAAAGGGCAACATTGTATATTAGGTCAGCAAGGCTTACATTAGATTTTCTCCCCGTCGCTGCGTACGGTCTCAGTAGAAATCCTAAAGATCACACCGGAAGCAATTCTCACTGAACATGGATAAAAGCAAGTGTACTTCAGTCTTACTTGAGAGGCATTTCTCGTCCGGTAACACTGCAGTTCCTGTAATTTGGGCAATCAGCTTGTAATCACAATCAAGAATGTCACGTACATCTACCTTTTGGCTAGCATGCACTGAGTATAGACTAGTCCCTTATTTCCCTTCATGTGAACAACACTAGGTTTAACAACATACACAAACGCCACAAAGTTCACTACACTCAGTACCTTTCACGGACATTACTCTTTTCCGCGACGGGAATAATCCAGGTAAGTCCTTCTGTACTGCCCTTTTAAGTCTTGCTCCAGCATACTTAGGCTACGATCGGTACGTGCACAATCACATCTGTGTTCTTTCCTGCAATGATCCTCTACTTTTCATATGCGGGTAGAATTAACAGAGAATCCTTTGCTGTAGAAAATTTATAATCATGTTTGGTTCGAGAGACCTGTTCATCGAACAACAGTGCTTGCACTTGCTGAGTGTCGGCTCCTTAAGTTTAGCTTCAGGGCATGGCAGAAATACTGCATCCTTTCCTTACTAAGTTTAGACAGGTTCTCCGAGGGAATATTGATCAATATTTCTTCGAAAAAGAATGCTTTCGTTCGAGTTTTTACTCCGACTATCCGCCATTTTGAAACTGGACTTTTTAAAAAGTCCGGGGGAAATCCGGTAGTGCCAGGCTCCCGCGCGGTATGAAATTAGGCAATGCTCGCCCGGGACAAAGGAAATTTCCAAGCCCTAGTCGAGAATCGAACTCGCGGCCCTCCGGTTCAGTGGTTGGAACGTCCGATATTGTATTCGGAGGGTCGTGAGTTCAATTCTCACCGCGGGTACGAAATTTTTCGTTGTCCCGGGCGAGCATAGTTTCTCCTCCTTCCAAGTTGAAAATGTTCACTGGAACTGTATGTGTGCTGCTCACCAGTGTCTCATTAAAATTAATAAAAATAAAAAAAAAAATTTATTTACGCAAAAACGAGTTCGTGACAAAAAAACAAAATGGCGGGTGAAAGGTAAGTGATGCCGACTGATTTTATTTTTCTTTTTATGATCCGAGTTTTTTTTTTTTTTTATGATCCGAGTTTATCCGGGTCCAATTTTATTTCATTTTTATTTTTTTATTCGATCCGATTTGGTCCGAGTCGATCCGAGTTGATCCGACCCGGACTGGCGGTCCGAGTTGATCCGGTCCGACTTTTGTACCTGCCTGAATTTTACCTGTGTTTTCACAATTCTTGTGAAATTTGACATTTGTTTTCTTGGGCTTCCATGACAATTAGTCTTCTTTGATGTTACTACAAGTAACTAATAATTATATCTATAGCCTTTAAAAGAAGGAAGCGATATTGTTTAAGATATTAAGAAAATACGATGGGGTTGATCCACTTAAATGTACCCTACAGTTACGTTGTTTGTTAATATTATTATTATTATTATATTATTTTTATGCTATGCTAGAGCTTGGGGTGAAGTATGCTTCTGAATAATACAAAAAATGTCCGTTGCAATCTTAGAACTATATACAGGGAGAATTCCTTCAACTTTTTCAACAGATGTCAATTTGGGAAAGTGTTGCAGAACTAAATCAATAAAATTGATAGAAAATCCACTTGAGAGGGCCACACTGGCAACTGAACTCCTGCCTACTTCACTTTGCAATTTCAGTCTGTAATTTATAACGTCTTTCTTGATTTCTGCTTGAATACCCTCACTGAACAAAGGAGTTGGCTCATTAATTATCTGACTGATCTCTTGAAGAATCACATGGTTGATCAGGGTACCTGGTATCTACACAGTCCATGTCATCTGCAGCTCTTGCCAATAGGCAGTCATCACAAGCACACTGAGCACTGTGAAAATCACAGCACATATGTGCTGGTCCTTGGGTGGAAGGAACTTTATGATCAAAATAATTTAGAATCATTTTTCTTTTACATTCTTTTGACTTAACGTAGTTTCTCACCACATCTGTCATATTTTTTCGTGATCTGGATATGTCATATGAGTTATAATATATGTCAGCCCTGGTAGGTAGACCATCTCTCCCAGCTCTGCCCACTTCTTGACAATAATCTTCCATTGAGTATGGCACTCCAATGTGTACAACTCTTCGAATGTCATTACAGTCAATACATAGTCCAAAAGCAATGGTTACAAAAAGAACACGATGGGTTGAAGTGCCCTGTACCAATTCCTCCACAATCCTAGAGCGTTCACTTTCGGGATATTGGGCATGATATTGGGTAAACAATCTGTTTTTGGCCAAGGGTTCAGCATTGGGCGGATAAAATTGATCTTTACCCATCTTTGTGCTAAAATACAGAAAGCAGTCGGAAATAGTTTCAAGGCTTCCATAAATCAACGTAAGGGGCATCTTTACCTTATAGGCTTTCAACTCAGCAACTATGGGTTCCAAAATTGAATCAAGTTTCTCATCACCTCTGTCAGGACGAGTGTGCGATGCATAGTAAATGTTTGCTCTGTCTGGGTTGCTTTCAACAATTTTTGGATTTGAAAGACCCAATGTTTCCACTATGCTACATTTAGTGGCACTTGTTGCTGTTCCTGTCAGGGCCACAACTGGTACTAAGGGGAACAAATTGGTTAGAAACCCAGTCTTCCCATATGCTGGCCTGAATGTGGACCTTAAACACAAAAGGGTAAAGCCCTTATTTAAAGAAAATTCACGTAATCTTTAGCAAAATCTTTTTTTTTACATCACGATACCTTTCCGAAAGTTATATATTGCGGATTTACTAATCTCGCGAACTTAGGTAGTCGAGGGGTAATTAGCTCCGGGTCGCACTAGTTTTACGAAGAGACAATGTACTCATATGGTTGGATAAAATTGGCCACTATTGTGACGTATTTATTAATATAACAATAAAAAGTCACGCCACGCTTAACAAACTAATCAGATCGTGACGTGACATGGAAAAAATTAAGTAATTGAATGTCTCTTCGGAAAAGGTGGGGAAGAAATAACCGCCACAAGGCACACAGCGTGTGACCACCCCACCAAGATCCGGAACTAAGAACCCCGAGGAATATTTTAACTGAAAACAGCGAGGATATAAGAAAATCTTGTAAAGTACGGTCATTTCCAGCAGCCCCTGGCTGACCTAGTCATGAACCGCACGCGAACTCACATTGAAAACAGAGGTTAAATAACATAGCAATTCGTGCCAGGACCGTAGCTCCTTCGTAGGACAGATAACGTATTGATAAAGTAGTACATGAGAACAGATTGGTAAAGTACATAGTAAGTGATAGCGGAAAGAGTCCACAGTGAAAAACCCTTTCAGTATGGCAGCCCCTGACTGACCCACGCATCAGAGAATCCACCGTGGCCCGTGAAAGCTAACCAGAGATGAAGACAAAAATACTGGTCCCATAACGGATGTTTAAATAGCCGTAGTGAAAATCACCACTGCATAGCAGCTCCTGACTGACCTATACAACGGAGATCCAACCGCGGCTTGACTAGTGTCTTTGAAACGTTTAAAAACAATTAGTTAGCCTTGAGTGAAGGCGGACGAATGTAAGTTCTAAAAGCGTCCGAACTCCATCTACCTAGGGCACGTATTTTGCGAATCCGAAAAACCTTTCTCAGACGCATGGCACGCTGCACCAATGCGAAAGCTATGGCTCTTGTAGCGAGAACAATCAAGGCCGCAAAAGTTCAAAGCACGACGGAGCTCAGTGTTAAAATTATTTGTCGAGATTGCCCCGCCGGCTGCACACGTGAACAAGGGGCCTTTATGGTAACCCCTAAGTTTAATGTAGTCGATTAAGGTCTGCACGGGGCAAAACGGTTCTGAAGGTTCGCTTTCTATTGTTATGACAAACGGCCGATTATTCGTGTTGTGTTTAAACTTAGTGATCACAATCTTGACAGCCGTCACTCGAGAAGATTGTTTCAAAAAGTGACTTGATCAAATTGCACAACGGTGTCAACTTGCTGTTTACTATTGCAAGATAATTCACCTATTCTGAAGAAACCATAAAATGCTGTCATGAACATTGCCCCGAACAGAGATCTACGATAGGCAGATGGGCTAGTATGCTGTAAAGCTCTAACTAATTCGTACAATAATGGACGTGAAATGGGCATACGAACATCGGCTTGACCACGGCGGCCAACGGCCACAAGAAGCTTTTCAACTAAAAATGATTTGGTCGGGTCGTAGTGGCCTTTGATCTTATGTACATATGCTATTGCTGATAGGTACGAGTTTATGGTAGCAGGAGCAAGGCCCTTGGCACATAAAAAGGAAATGAATAATGCGATACACGCTGTCGAAACAGGCAAATGTAAATCGGCACCCTGATAGCGGGTATAGAATTCAGTAAAGACAACCCAAGCACGTGAGTATTGTTTGCGAGACTGCTCCGACAATGAGGAATGTAGTAATTCCTTTAACGTATCGACCACTTCTGCGGGAGAAGGGTCTCGGGAACAAGAGTTGGCTCTGGGTCGGCATCTGGGAATGCTTTCCTGAAATCTACAATCTGTAAACGAGAATTGAGTCCGCCCGGGTATTGTCAACACCGGGTATATGATAAGCCCGAAACAAAATATTATGACGTAGTGATGTTAGGACAAGGTCACGGACTAAGATCATGATCATGGGGTGTTTTGAAGTCTGTTTATTGATAATGTCAACCAAAGCCGCATTATCAGTAAACAGAGAGACACATTGATTGCTCATTTGACATGCCCACACGTGGAGCGAGATAGTAATCGGAAAGAGCTCCAAAAATGCAATGTTCAATGATTTCCAATTGGCAGGCCATTCTCCGTAAAACCAATGTTTCCCAAAAAGTGCGCCATAGCCCTTTGAGCCGGCGGCGTCGGTGTAAAGGTTGAGAGGCGGTGAAACCTGCCACGGATCGTCCAGAAAAAAATGTACGGCCGTTAAAATCTCTTAAAAATTGAAGCCATACTAATAAATCTCGACGACAGGCTTCAGTGATCCGTATACGATGGCGAGGGAGACGGACACCCTTTGTGAGATCAACAAGCCGCCGAAGAAAGGCCCGACCAGGTAGAACAACTGAACAAGTAAAATTTAATAATCCAATCAAAGATTGAAGTTCTTTCAGGGTAGTTTTACGGCGTCTGTGCATGTCCAATAACTGAGCATTGCATTTTTGAAGCTTATCGTCCGGCAGACGTGCTTCCATATTAATCGTGTCGAGTGTTATCCCAGCAAACTGTAAAGTGGTTGAAGGACCTTCCGTTTGTTCATGTGCTATAGGTACCCCTAAACTATCACATAGGCTCAAAAAGTTGTTTAAATCGGAGGCACATTTGCCTTGAGAGGTAGCAATAAACAAGAAATCATCCAAAATATGCAAAACACCGGAAACACAGAGATAATGTTTAGCAAGCCACTCGAGCGCAGTGCTAAAAGCTTCAAATATAGCGCAAGACGAAGAACAGCCCATGGGCAGACACCGGTCAAAAAGTACGAATTATTCCATGTCATACCCAGTAAATGGTAATCGTCAGGGTGAATCGGAATAATGCGGAAAGCTGATTTTATATCGGTCTTGGCCATGTAGCAGCCCCTACCTAACGACTTAATGAGTGTAATAGCATCACCTATTGAAGCATATTGAACCGACGAAAATTGGTCCGGAATAAAATCATTCACCGACGAGCCATCTGGGTATGACAAATGGTGGATAATACGGAATTCCCCTGGGGTTTTCTTTGGAACTACGCCTAAAGGTGAAGAAATAAAATTATCAAAAGGTGGACGAGAAAATGGACCTACAATTCTCCCAGCGCACCATTCTTTCTCAAGTTTAGCAGCTAAAATTTCAGGTTGGTCCTTCGCACTGCGCAAATTTGAAGCAAGACGTAATTGGCTAGTACCAACAAACCCAACGCGAAATCCAAACGAAAAGCCATCAATCAAAAATTGCTTAAGACGAGGGTCGTATTGTTGTAAAAGGGGGCTAAGGGTGGATACTTTTACCGGCGTTACTGGCGGGCTGTTTATTATGCGATGGAGTTGCGATAGTTCTATCTCCGGCTGGTTTGGGAATGTTCGAGGCAGATTGACAGGACGTAGCTGCATGTCTACCACCACATTTGGAGCATTTATGGTCATATCTGCAGCCCGCACAGGGACGACCGGCGTTGAACGTGAAACACACCCCTCTGACCATTGATTGTTTTCCCCTGAACCTCGAGTTGTGTTTGTCGGTTGCAAAATATCCAGATTTGGCACGAAAAGTCACCGCGCGATGCCATAACTCCCAATGTACCACGCCCCAAGGGTACGTTTGTGGGTTGCCTTGACGAAGATACCGGAACTGTTCATCGTAATAGTTCCAGTCCCCCCCACGTGTGGCGATGTCGCGCACTGTTTCGCAAAATTGCATCAAATTTGGCGTCTCTCTGGGGAATTTTTCGCAGTAGACTGCAACAAAAGAGTGGAAGGCCGACACCCACTCGTGAATAGACGTCAATTTCTTCGCATTGTGTACCGGTTCGAATGTAAAATTAGGGGTTTTAGACCCAATTCCGGCGGTGGGAGCGGTGATAGATAATGCGAACTTATCCGGATTAGGGGACATATCTAGAAGAGAGCCAAAGTTGACGAATTCCTCCGCCCAGATCTTATTCTTTAGGCGTGCACTCAAGCGGCTACCTAAGGGTACACCTATACTAGAAAATAAAGGCGCACTGGGTAATATCTTGCTACCTGACGACTCAACGGCCCCAACTGGAGTATTGGTAAGGGACTGCACATCGCGTTGCACTGCGTCGGTGACCAGATTGATGGAACGGGAAGAATTCTGGGCCGCGTTGGTCGACTGTATCGCCGTTTTCACCGCAGCGACAATAGACGAAACCATTGCATCAGAAAGGCCCTCCGATCCCACACCAGATGCAGACGCCTCAACAGCCGCTTGGGAGGGGGGGATTTCGACCGGGTCAGGAACAAATTGGACGCTGACGGTATCGTCTGACGGTCCTGCTGTTCGTCGCGATTTCCTTCGTGGCGGCATGCTGATTAATAAGGCCTATAAAACTTAGCTAGAGTTAATTCGGACATGTTATAGGCAAAGTCGGGATTAGACAACAAGGAGAATCAAGGGGGGCAGAATGCATTGTACGCTAATTCAAAAATGCAGGATGCCCATTAACCAGCTACAACAATCGCATGTCATCATATGTGATGGGAGAGCGTCAGTCACGGGCCGATCACATAGGTATCTATAAAGACACATGTAAAAGCGTTAATAGCTGGAGTGAATTGGGCACGTCAACGACGGCCGGATTTGGTTGTCACTCAGGCACATAACGCAACAAATTCCAAAGACAATGATTGACATAAATCAGGGATGGGCATCACACAGGAATGCACAGAATCCCAAAGCAACTATTAAATTGCAACAAAAGCACATGGACAGGACATAAAAAGACACCAAAAGCCCACTGAACGCAACTCCTTGGCCAAGGCTATGAACTTGCCAAAATTAAAACTGGTTGGGCGAGAAATTCCTTATGTTTTTATGCGTTTTAAACAATGCAGTACTGCCCCCCTTACACTCCTGTACAGTTTATGCTGCCCTTCTGTATTTAAGTGGACACCATCGTATGACAAGTATGAACGGGAAGCCCGCCAAAATCCCCGATGCGTCCAATATATGGCAAAGGGGAGCGGTTCTAAGACCCCTTGAAGGTACTGCGCCAGGATTTGTACGTTTGCATTGAACGCCCCAACCGGGTGCCTTTTAACGGTTTGACCAACACAAACTAAACGAACCCCGTACTCATTATGAAGTAAACAGACCAAATCCTCGATGGCAGAGCCAACAGATGCTGGAGAGGACCGACGGCGTGTGAGGTCGTTAGTACCGATTTGTAAAAGTACAACATCAGGTTTAAAACGTTCTACTTCGATTAAATCAAACCGCCTAACCTTATCGGTTGTTCGACCCCCAACGCCATGCCAATGAATTGTAACCGGGGTATTAATGTTTAAATTAAGGTTATATGTGGGACTATTCCTAATAATAAAATCCCGAAGCCTACGTATAAAGGAGTGACTCAAAATCAGAACCCTCGGCTGTTCCATACCGACAAAAAAGAAAAACACAAAAGAACTTGCCTGAAAAATTTGAACAGATAACTTGCCACACGATGGTGTAGAGGTAGAAAGGGGCCCTCGTATTTGCGCAACGTACTATAAAGCAATGCTCGATCACGTGTTACCTAGTACCCAGTTCACGCAGCCAGTGCTTGATAACAACAGGTATCCCGACGCAAAAATGTAATTATGTTTGGGACACAATTTTTTGTTTATAATTATCTCAGTGACTCTGGCTTCCTGGCATAATTTAATTACGGCACTACTGTATATAATAATAATAAGAGCACTGTAATTAAATTAAGTTAAGCTAGGAAGCCAGAGTCACTGAGATAATATTAATAAGCTTATACCTTGCAACATTAAAAAACTAGCTTTATTTTCTTGTTATAGGTGGAACAAAATGTTGTTGTTATCTACTACAGAAGGGACCAGTGGAAACATGTATTTTCAAAACTATATCAACATTATAAGCCAGTTCAGTTCCCGTATGAATGTCACAGGACAAGAAGGAACAACTATATTACTTTTTTAAATAAGATCAACTTTCACTTCAAAATACAGTATTAAAATCCAAGCTACATCGTGACTAAAACTTTTAAGAAGCTTAAGGCTTATATCTTATATGTACATATTAAAATAGAAGATTTATTTACAGATAAATAAGATTTTAATATAGTACGCATGTTTACTATTCTATAAAAAAAATCTGTATCTTGTTATTAATTTTAATTGGCTTCATTTAAAATAGTGTGCAAAATAGTGTCCGACTTTTAGTCTTTATTAGATAACTATTTTATTTTATTATTTATATTATTTGTTAATAACGTTCATATATAAGCTTAAATGTGTGATTAAGCTAAAGTACACTAATCATTGTTGAACTAGGTGCGCCTCATCGATTACTATCGCCTGAACACTTTCTTGGAAATGCTTTTCTTTAAGCATTTTCGATGTGTTCTTGTGGTCAACAAAAACCTCAGGATGACCGAACAACAAACTGCATTTCCTCACACCTTGAGGCAAATTTACTTTATTCTCTCCTTCCTCGTCTTCCACACTTTGCACGACACAGACATTTAAAAATCCTTCTAATTTTTTAAGTCGGTCCTTCATTAAGGCATTAAGAGGAGAAACAACTATAACGACAGAGTTTTCTTCTTGCTTGTCCCCTCTGCTTCGAAGGAAATCAAATATTGCAGGCAAAATTTGATAAATTAAAGATTTACCAAAACCCGTCGGCAATACGGCTAAAACGTCCTTTCTTTCAACACAGACAGCCCTTATGGCTTCAAATTGTTCCCTCTTTAGTTCCAGGTCTGGTTTGCCAAGTTTTTCCAAAGAGAACTTAATCGCCTCTTGAAACGAATCCTCTGAATTAGACGCCATTTTCCAAACTGGTTTGGGCCTGCGCAGTCGGAACGACAACAAGAATCCTGTTGTCGGGAAACGGATTATCCCAGAGGTCCCGATCCCTGTCGCTGACCAAAAGGATCGCGGCTTCTGGGAACGAGATTGCGTCTTTTCTAAACAATAAATATTCTCTTTATAATAAATAAAGAGCGTCAGTTTGCTTCGATAAAATATGCAGCTTTTTGATGTTTTCGGGTCATTTTTACTGACTTGGCCCGTCCACGTCTGGTGATCCCCAAATACCAACTGGGATTGAAATAAGACCGAAAGGTCGTGTACCCCTTACGAGACACGTCACGATAAAACGCACAGGCTGAGTCATTCCTCGCTTGCTGTGATGGCTGTAAGATCAAAATAAGAGCTGGTTAAAATCAGTGAAATCCCAAATGTTCTTATCTTACTGTAACTCAGATATAACTAGGGACTGTTAAGTCCGGATATTATTATCGTGGGAAAATTGCTGCCGAGTAACTGTGAGTATTAGAAGGACAACCTATATTCGATTTCAACTGGCGCGACGCATTACATCAAGTTGGGTTGTGATTTCTCTGCTTTTGAAATTTCCGAGAGAATCGTGGGCTGTCTAGTTTTGCAAGTAAAAAAATGATAAATAATTATGGTCAATTGCAATACTATTACTGCCAAGGCGGTCACCAAGGGAATATTCCCTTAACTATATTAACATGTCGGTTATATCAGTTTTAGCTAGTGATAAGCACAGGGACAGACGACTTTACTTGACTTAATTTCAAAATTGACCAAAAGCGATATTTTATCGGTAAGACGATCACCCGCCAAGGGTTCTACATAATTTTTCCAGTTTCAAGCACTAGGCTCACTTCGGCAAAGTATTAGCGGAGCTCCACGCGCGCGCGAAGCGCGCGCGTGGGCGGAGCCCCATTGCTAAGGAAATCTACCCATCCCAGAAAATTTGGTAATCACGTGACCGACCGACCGACCGTCCGTCCGCACCACAGGCATACCAATGTTTACTCTCACACTTTCTAGCTACTTTGGGAGCCCAGGAGAAAGCTGATTGCACATCAATGTTGTCATCAATTGACAGCTGTCAAAACAGGGTATCCGCTGACCACTATCACCTGACCGAATCGCGGGCTCAGGTGTCGACCCATCGAGGTCGAGTATTTTTTTGAAGTTATCCGCTGACAATTTACTCGTTTTCAAATGATCGCAGGCTCACGTTTACTTTTGTTTTAAATTCATATCAAATATGTTGTGTTTATGTCAGTATCGCCCCGCACTATTACGATTTTGATTTCAAACTGACTTCAGACGCAAAAATTCAGCCAGTGTTTTTAAAATACAGGCGGGGAAGACCTTTTCTTACCATGGGCACGTGTTGGTCACGCTCAAAGTCCAATTTTTATGGTCTGATTGGTTAAAATTTGACAGGTGAGTTCATGCGTAAAATTTATGCAGCATCTTGAAAGTTGTTTACTTTGACAGCTGAAGCTGACAGAGTTTTTTTTTTTGAGTCAACTTGAGATGTTTTTAACTGTCTTTTTCCACTGGATGTACAAAATGAAATACAGCTGCTATCAAGAGTGTTCTCTTATTCATGGCTGGTTTGTTTATTGGGTTTTTGGTTGAAAAATGCGTCGCTTGTCAAAGCCGATAATCCGATTTCGGATGGCATCGTTTTTGTTTTTCACCTTGCTGGATGCGTACGAGAATTATAAAGGCTCAAGCGATACTTGCCTTACTTGATAGCTTTCAGGAGCTGCATCTCGAAATATGGTAAGCTTGAGTAATTATTGTATTTAAATCTAATTTCATGAAGTCCTGCGGCGCAGTTTATGAAGCTAGTTTATGCACGTTTGTATTAAGATTTGACGGAGACACTGATCTGACCTCGTATGAGGTTTGATATAAGCTTAAGCTTACAGAACTTTAAAAAGCCTTTAGTCGATATTAATTCACCTTAAATAGAAAGAAAAAACTTTCCGAAGAATGTTTAGTTATAATTTTGGCTGTAGAAAGAAAGCTTTGAACGATTTTCTTTTCGTGAGTTCATCTTTGAAAACAGCCAACACCGGGAAACCGGCGGCTTAAAACATAAACTTTTATCTTACTAGTAAAGACTTGAGGATTCTTAGACACACTTAAATACTCATTTGTTTTCGTGAATGAAAATTGTTGTCTCTGTAAATGTTCTATCGAATTATTTTTCTTTATTGATTTTTGGTAGTCTCAAAAGTGTAATTTTCATCGCTTTGCCGTTTGTTTTCAGGCGTTCATAAACATCGCTCGCAGGAGTACTCAAAATGCCAAGCGTATCAAAAGCTTTTTAAGATTACACATCGTTATAAAACCGTTGATAAAAAATAGACTCAGTAAATTCTTTATCACGTTGAAGCGTAACTCTTTTAAAATTTCTTCGCAAATTTGGCGCTTGTCAAAAGTTAGAACCGGCTTGCCGTATAGGTGATTTTGGAAATTTTTTGAACGGTTTCGCTAATTAAAAGTCCACGCGTGCCTCTACGGTCCTGAATATTGAATGAATGCAATTTGTCTTGAAAAATTGTGAAATACTGCATTTTGTACGAGGTCTGTATGATAAAAACAGCGCCTCATAGTACTCTTTCTCCTCAGATGTGGTGTATACAAAAAACTAAAAGATTGGTTTGCACGCACCCAGATTTATTGGCAAGAATTTGTAAACTTGTCGAACGCAAAAAATTCGGTCTGATTTGTTTTGCACGCCTTATCTACTGTGATCAAGAGCCGTCATTGCTCTTAAATGTGACCGAAGACTATTTTTTGGGTGTACATATAAGGCTATATCAACTCGATACAAAATTTGTTTCATTCCAAAATCACTTAGCTTTTCCCTCAAAAGTCACATGAACGTGCCCTTATATTACGTTAACTGATTTGTGGAATACAAAATTATTGTTTGATTTAAGTTATAAATTTATCAATGGGAGCTTCGCTTTTAGCTGTGGCTAAATATATATATTATTGTTTGGAGGTACGATGATACAAATTGATATACAGTGAATTGATGCATGGGTATGCTCTTATAAAAAGTGCCTATTCATTTGATAGAGCTCACATTTACCGATGATTTTACAGAGTAATTTTCTAGCTTGGTGGTGTCTTTTACAGACTGTCATATAATCTTGTATTAGCTCTTTAGACGATTATAGCCGCGGTCTGTGTCTGTAAAAGAAATCTTAAATTGTGACCATTATAAAAAATAATAGCATTTCACTAAGTAGTATAATTCCTGTGGTTCGATGTAAAATCATGCTACACTCGGTGGTCCTCGAGCAACACTGAGTTGCGAACTTTCAAAAACAGCCAGAGTACTGTCAGTCCATTTTTGCAACGTGGAATTTTCTTGAACATTTAGTAAGAAATTGAATGATGACAGTTGTGTTGAGGGTAGAACTGGGATGGGTGGGGAACTGTATAGTCTCAGTTCCGCTGTAAAATTAGTTCGTCACGTTTTCCATGCCTACGCATTTCGCCTTATTTCCGCTGGAGTAATTTTGGTGAACGGCCCAGGGATCCCAGCTTAAAGTATTTTTCCATCTGTTACGACTTTTTAGTTTATTTCAGAAAAAAAAGCTGTGATTTTAAATAAATCTGTCCGTCGGTCAGTAGAGAAATTTTGTAAGCTATCTATCATTACCCACTGATATATTCCATTTTTTTCTGTAATAAAACATATTCCGCCTGTCTGCGGTTCGAGCTTTGGTTGAAAGACATTTTTAGATTATGTTTTCAGGGCCGTAGCCAGGAAGAAACTACAACCGAGGCGAACACACGGTCCGTTGTACGAAATCATCCGTATGAAATCTTCTAATATTATCAGTCTGATAAAAAAAATAAAAATCGACAGTATTTGATAAAATTTTACCGAGGCGAGTGCCTCGGTTCGCCTCATACTGGCTACGGCGGTGGTTTTAGCGTGTTAGATGGTCTTCCTAAAGAAAACATAACTCTGCGAGAGTTTTGCGCACATCCGTGGCAGAGTAACGTACCACAAATTCAAGTACGCATATCCGCAACATGACAGAGAAGTTTCGTTCGGTTGTAAACTGTCAGCAGCTTAGTTACAGGATTGTTGCAAAGATTGCAGCTAGTAGCTTATTGATATCATAAAATGAAATTTATTTCAAGATTGAATCAGCGATCTATATAAGTAAGTACATCACGAACAATGATGATTACGACCAAATGTTTGCGGTTACGAAATTTACCGTGAAAAGTCCCTATTCAACTCCCTCTTTTCGCATGCTATTGTTTATTGTTTTCCCCCCAATTTTTGTTACAGCATATGAGGTTCACGAAACTTTTAAAATAGAGCCAAGCCACAAAATACAACGGTGCCAAATTCGCTAACCCCACTGAATCGCTGCTCAGGGGGCGTAATTAAATGTCAATTATAGAGTATAAACCTCGACCACTACGATGAGACATATGTATCTGGACGATTTTGCGGTTACATGCATCCAATTATCTTGTTATGTCTCTTGATACTCAACTCGCAAAGCTGTAAAAATGGATATGCAACAAAGAAACTCGCTGGTTTTCTTTTAGAAAAGTGTGACGATCGCTCGTTTTAAATATCGAGCAAATCTTTGTGCATTTGATACAACAGACTGCTCGATATATTGAGGCGGCACTAGAAAACTAAACAACCCATTAATACCAGGGAGCTAGACTGCTAATACAATTGTGTCTGAAAGCATGTTCCTCTAGCTAGACCCAGGAGGCGATGGCTGAGCATAGGTAATTGACGAGGGTGAGCTGAGGTCGAATGCTACAGTGGTAGTTTGATGAAAATCACTTACCCTAGTTATCACCACTCCGTGGTCATCGACGCAGATACATACGCTTCCGTCGTATGACTTCAATATAATTTGAGTTCCTACTGATTCCACCATGATCTTGACTACAAAACAAATGATAATATCGTCACACAAGTAGGCATAGCAAATCAAGCTGGATCACTATAGCTGTCACGCTAGTATGCACTTCAACTAGTACACGCGTGGAGCTCAGTGTTCCATCAGCTAGGCAGTAGCACGGAGAAAGAGAATGATCTCGTTTCGCACCTTTTCCGTAATTTGAAAAAGACACTGTACACAACCGGCTTTATTTGCCTTCTCTGGCCAAGCGTGCAAATTCCACTACATGTGCCTTAAATCGAATTGGCAGACAACTTCAGCCTGTCGAATTGGCAGCCGGCGAACTGGCAGTGAATTGGCAGACAACTTCAGCCTGGTTGTTTGATCAACGTTTGCTTCTCTGAAATTACCGCTGGCACCCGCTGCCGCGCGCGCTTGTCAAATCTGTGTAAACTAGACTGGTAATTTTTGAGAAGCCGATGTAAATAAAAGAATATGGCATTCCGCTTTCTCCCGTCACCATGAATTTCCCACATCTGGAGGGTCCGGTTAGATCACCGCGTGCAGCGTTTCTAACCGGTCAGTATAAAACACGGACTGCGGACTGCGGACTACGGACTGCGGACTGCGTATAAAATACGGACTAGGTATAAAACACGGACTGGGTATAAAACACGGACAAGGTATAAAACGCGGACTGCGGACTGGGTATAAAATACGGACTACGGACTACTTTGGTAAAAACGGTGCTATTTGGTTCTAGGTAAGGAAAAATAGGATCAAAAGATCGCTAAATGGCAAGACACGTGAGTTAAAGTTGTAAATACTCCTATAAATCAGTCTTGGTGGAGGTGGGCCGCTCGGTTCTCTGAATCATGAGCCGGATCAAAATGCTATTTTCTTCACCCATTTTTAGACCTTGTCTCGGTCTCTAACAATCATGAAAGGGGTCAGGATCTGGGGTGGTACTCCCTTATATAACTACTAGTGTCCTCTAGTGTGCAATTTGTGTTATGATTCTGAATTATTTGGATAAAGTCAATGTACGTAGGACTGTATAAGACTCCAAGTAAATAAAACATTGTCATTGTCATTGTCATTATATAATGGAAGGGCAGGGGCTTGGGGTCTTTTTGGTCTGAAAACACTTTGCCCATTTTGGTGTGGAATCGGGTATGGTTTTCGAGGGAACTTCGGGAGCGTACATGAATGGACGTATTTATCGTCTTGAAATGAATAAGAACGAAATAGAAATGCATGTGCGAATTCGAAATGCATTTGGAGAACTTTTTTGTTTCCCCTCTTACTTGGTAATGATGACATAATTTCTGCCTAATTAGACCTAAACTGTTCCAGGCTCTGAGATAGTTGGGTCCGCTGAATTAAGAAAGCGAAAACACGAAAATAAAACGGGACAAAACTGGGGAGTTTCCCCAACTATCTGAGAGCCTGGAACAGGCCAAATTAGGCCAGATCCGAAAATGGGTATGGATTTTAGAGATCTGGTCTGAAAACGGATGTGGAAAATGACATTTTTTGGTCTGCAATAAGGTCAGGATTCGGAGAACCGGGCACCACACCCCCACCAAGAATACCCAGTAGTACCACCGTCCGGGGATCAGGAGCAGGGTGTAAATCATGCCATCATAATCATCGCTTAGAATATAACATTGGATAACTCATTTCGGTTATTATTCACGTATGAGAGTAATCCCTTCCCCCTAAATACTGCTTTTGTGCATCGCGGAATGCCCCTACATTGACCTTCTCGTCTGAGTTCTTCATTCAGTCCTCGTATTCGCAAGGCTTTATTTGAAACGGAATTATGGCATCCGATAAGAATTTTACTGATCTGACTAACACCAGCACTATTTTTTTAAATTCGGTGCTTCGTATTGGTTTAAAACTGCAAATTGAAATCTCTTCTAACTCCCTCTTTTTATAAAATTCAGAGTTTAGTTTCAGTTGCCTTGAGTACCGGCATGACCTTCCTTCTCCGTGGGAAGAATAGACAAAGTGAACAGCCAAGGGAATGTTAAAGCTGGGACTACTGTTTTTGCTAGTCCGCTTTCCATTTCTCTCAGTTTTACCTTTTTAAAGTCGTCATAGTCCGTAGTCCGCGTTTTATACCTAGTCCGTGTTTTATACTCAGTCCGGAGTCCGCATTTTATACCTAGTCCGTATTTTATACCCAGTCCGCAGTCCGTGGTCCGCAGTCCGCAGTCCGCAGTCCATGTTTTATACTGACCGCGTTTCTAACTAGGTTACTCACCATTTGGATCACGTCTGTCTCCCTTGCCGTCTATAGTTCCATTGTACATTCGAAGGAACCTGCCACTGTTTCTCGAGTACACTCGTTCGTACCTCCACACGCCCATGCGATTATTTACTACGTGCTTGGGGTTGATTCCACTGTTCTCTAACGCTTGGGTGTCCTAAACAAACGAAGAAGTGCAAACAGTCGTTAATATGAAGATACTGCCGCTAGTCTACCGAAATGTCACTCAGCTTTGCGGCCCAGTTTCGTTCTTTGCTGTGGTTTCGGTAAAACTGGCGGACAATGTGAGCCGGACATATCAGTTTGTTTTCTCGGCGTTTAGTAATTACCGCCTTCACAAGCAGACAAAGGCGTCAAAGTACATATCGATCGCTGCAGGGGCTACGAGTTCGCGCGCGTGTTTGTTCCACGGTCAGCGTGGATGTTCAAAAGGTGCGCGCGAGCGAGCATCTTGTTGCGATTAGCTCTGACAAGCGTGACAATGCTGTGGTGAATTGCCAAGAAAAACCAGTGTTTTCCCAACCATTCACCAGGCAGTCCCTTACTGCCTATCCATAAAACAGCCATTGTGTAGTGATTATTGTTGACCCCCTGTCGCTCGGTCTTAATCCAGACCAATTTGAATTACTGAATTCCTCAACAACAAAATTGTCACTTCCCGTACTGCGAGTTAAAGGTGACGTTTTTTTGAAGTGGTTCCCATGCGAGGCAGATAAGTTCATTTTGCATAATAGACAACTTCACGATATTGGTCAAATATCCTAAATTCTTTGACGCAAATCGACTTGAATGGCAGTTTACTCGGGTCTTGCCAATTAAATTAAAAATAGATGAAATTTCGAGTCCATTAAAAAAAAAAAGTTGTATAAACGTGCTAAAATGAATGCGTGAATAATTTAAGGTTAAGCCAATCGTGTTTAAGTTAGGTATGTCCAACTTGTGGCCGCTGTTTTAGTTTGAAGAACCTGTTCGGTATACAGTCGATCGCAAAAAATTGTGAATTGAAAGCCACAAAATATAACAAGTACTTACTCCAGAAAATGAAGAGTTTTCTCTCATAGGTAAAGCCGGACATCTGTGAAGAAAATGAAAACAATCTCGATGTAACTTTTCCAACTTTAGGGTTTCCAAAGCCGGTTCACAACCTCCGTTCAGTGTTGGTAAGAAAAAGAGAAAAACGCGATAAATATAGTTACGATGATAAATATATAAGATAAATAAGCCAACACATAAATATTTTCTTCGCCATTGTAAAATTTTGCGCTGTAGTTCTTTGTAAACGCTGGAACGAATTCAGGTAGTGTTTTGTTCCCACAGTGAGTGTGTTCTTATTATATCATCTCATTTACAGCCCACTTAAATACTCCAGTGTTGACCTCCTGATGGACTCGTATATTTCTGTGACAGACGTCGATAAGTGCCGAGAGGCGTGCCGAAGTTCCGCCCGAACAATCCCCGAGGATGTTTGCCGAGGGCAAAGTAAAATGCAACCCAGAAGGGAACTAAAGTAAATCACGTAAATAGAGAACAACTGGGGGCTTAATTGGCAGACGAAAATAGTGACCCTACGCCTTATTAACGCGAAGGTGTCTATTTTTTTTAACCCTTGCTTACGGAAAGTCAGGTAGTGGGTGGAATGATATGTGGCTAACCTCCTCCCCATACCATACGTTTTACTCCCGTGAGCAATGCAGGAAAAACAAAGGACTTTCACGTAAATGTTCAATAACCTTAGATTTTTTGTTAATTTTTGGACTTGAAGAGGTCTTAGTAAATTTTCCGATCCACTTTTACTCTTGTGTTGACGCACTAATGTGGAAATGTTGTAATCGATCTTTTTTATCCAACTTGTAGCAGGAAGCCATCGTGTCGCCGTTAAAACAATTATTTACAAATTAGGTCAGTTGACCTTTTAAAGTGTAAGTTGTAGTACCTATGGCCGCTTAAAAGAGTTAAATACTGCCTCAGGCATGATCAGGCACGAAAAACTACACTTGTGTTGAAAAAAAGACATGTCCCGCTTCTTTGACTTCCCTTTCTTTTAATTTTGCCTTATTACAAATTATCCTTACTTTATCGGTGACAAGTAAAAACTAAAAACTCTAAATAATTTCATACGTTCTCTATACAACCATTTCTTTTAAGGGCAAACATTCAATGATTATGCAAACTTTACTACGCCAAGACAAACAACAACGATTTTGCAATTTCTGGAATTGTAAATGTAGAAAAACAAGGGATTAGACGGTGGAAAAAGAGAGAGAAGCTAACTTGTAGCTCTGGCATGAAGGTTTCTTTTTCTTTTCACGTAAAGTTATTTTAAAACTAAACTACGCAAAACTCACCATAAGCTTGTGTGGGAGGGTTTTTCCCCGAGTTAAATTCAGTAAAGCTAAACTATAATTTTATTGTCGGTTGAAATATGTTTTGAAGGAGACACAGAAATTTTTGGAAACTTATCCTTCGAGGTTTTACCTGCAGTTTTATACTACGATACAACTTATTG